AAGTCTCACGTAATGCGCCAAAGCATGCAGAGTTACGCACAGATTGCATGCTCACCTCCGTCAGTAGCTGATCAACAACACTTGACCCCTACAGATAGCGCAAATAACGGCGTTGCGCGTAAAAATTCTTGCTGTAGCCTTGGTGTATTGTCCACGGAAGACAAGCCAGACACCCCCACTCGACAAACCTACGCTCACAAGGAACTGCAGAACAAACAATTACTACGCAATCAAAAGGCGATGACAGTAATATGTTCAAACGTCCCAGAACCCACTAGCGAATCGCTAAAAGGTAGACAAGCCGAGGAGCAAAACCGGTGGGCTGAAATAACCTGCGCACTCGGACTGAAAGTTCTCCTAACTAGTCTTACACGCCTTTCACGAAATCCATCATCTCCACACTCAAGGGAACCTCGGTTACTGCGAGTAACGTTTGGCAACACGCGCGACCTGGAAGATGTTCTCTTAGCAAGCCACATGCTAGTGAACTCTTCTCTCAGTGCCCGCATTTTTCCTGACAGGCCATGTGCAGAAAGACAGAAGCGTAAATCCAACCCTAGTTCGTCACGTCAAAATGAGATGAAAAAAGTGGTACTGGTTCATGGTGTGTCAGAATTGAAGCATGACGATAGCAGTGAACGACGGAAGCACGACATCGAAGAATGGCGGTACATCGCAGAACTATACGACATGAAGAATGTCGTGGCTTTTGACGTCACGCGTCTAACTGCTTCCACAAACTATCAAGGTAGCGGGCCACGAATTTTGAAAGTTACCTTAGCTGCGCCCGAAATGGTATCAGTGGCAATCCAAGCATGGCATGACAACAGGAAACTTTGGCCACCAGAAGTACGGTTAAGAGTATTCCTTCAATTAGTACAGACCTCAGATACAGATGAGCCAGCCTCAATTGTACCCATCTCAAACCAGCCAACAGTGCAAACAACCGTTACAAAAACTTCAGCAGATCGGCACTATTTGTGCCGGTCACTCACAGCGAACCGAGCTCCTGATGCATCAACAAATACAATGCTGCTACACCAACACTCATGGGTTGCACTCTAAGCTCTCGGAGCTGCGCCACCGACATGAAACAATAACTTGGGACCTCATAGCGGTCAGTGAAACTTGGCTCTCAAACGACATACTTGATCCAGAGATTGAACTCAATGAAATGTCAGTCATTCGAAATGATCGTCCATTTCGCGGTGGCGGTGTTGCTCTCTACTATCGAGATTATTTGAAATGTTAGGCTGTTACCGAAAATTCCCTTGTTATTCCCGACGCACTATTTTACCGACTGCACCTAGTAGGTCGAGATGTCGGTTCACAGAAGAAGCGTGATGTTTGCCTCTTGGTAGTTATTTATAGACCTCCGAACTCATCAGCAGACAGCGATAACATTCCGTTAAACGCCCTCCGCTATGCTGTTTCACAAAAGTACTCTCACTATCTTATAATGGGTGACTTTAATGTTCCTTCAATAGCATCAATGTCCCCTAGTGGGCCATCATTTAAATCGAAACTCCTCGAATTCATGGATATGGCAGTTTTGTATAACCATGTGCATCGACCAACCAGACATTGCGGTTCAAAGAAGCCATCACTCCTGGACTTAATCCTGACTAATGAAGAGTTGATGGTTGAGTCAGTAGCATACGATCCTCCACTGGGCAGTAGTGACAATTCAGTCCTAACATTTGGTTATGTATGTTATGCCAGTATTGTTGCTAAAGAGAGACTCAACGTACTATTACGGACTATTATAAGCTGCGCAGCTTGACAGTAACCGTTGACTGGGACCTACAGACGCACAGCTCAACGAATGACGCGTGGAATGAATTGAAAGATAAAATTAACTGGGTCATACAATCAGCATCGAAGGTTGTACCATTACGAACATCGCGCCGGACCAATACGTGGATCCGGAGTAGAACACGTAAATGGATCAACAGAAGAGATGAACTCTGGAGGCAACATTTGCTAAGCCCATGTGATGTCACATGGCCGGATTACAAAGTCATCAGAAACTACTGCACGTCACTCATTAGAGTCGATAAGTACGAATGACAGGAGAATATGTTGCTGAAATTTACGAGTAACACCAAACTACTATACAGATTTGTGAATGGCAAAAGAAAGGTTAAGCCCGGAATACCACCACTCAGGACGGCCAGCGGCCTAACAACTACTGCTGTGGATGCCGCGAATGCTCTGCACTTGCAGTTTGGCTCGGTAGCTACAAATGTCATGGAACCATCGCCCTACCAACTCCCAACAAATGTCGTTGGTTTATCCAGCGTCACCTTTACTCCAGCAGCTGTTGCAAGCAAACTACAGTCTCTCCGAAAGTATAGTGCCCCTGGAATCGACATAATCTGCCTAAAAGTACTGAAAACCCTTGCTCCCACCATAGCAACACCACTTGCAACCTTTTTCCAGGGTCTGCTTAACTCCCATACACTTCCATCTGAGTGGAAAAATGGAATTATCACTCCAATATATAAAGGAGGTAAGCGCTCGGATCCTGCTAACTACCGACCTATTACTCTCCTTCCTGTTTTGTCAAAAATTATGGAATCTGCAATCGCCGATGAACTGACGAGATACTTTGAAAGTCAACAGATAATTTCTAATGCCCAACATGGTTTCCGACGCGGACGATCTTGTCTCACCAAGTTGCTGATTACTCGGGACTTATGGACCAGGGCGGCGGATGAAGGAGTGCCCATAGATGTGATATACCTGGATTTTTCTAAAGCATTCTACAGGGTCAATCACTTCTTTCTCCTACAAAATATTGCTGCCTACGATATCAACGGTTCACTGCTCACCCGGTTAGAAGACTATTTACACAACAGAGCAATCAAGGTAAGAGTAGCCGACACCTATTCTGAAAGCCTTTACGTCTCCAGTGGTGTACCACAAGGATCCGTCCTCGGCCCACTACTATTTTTAGTTTACATTAATGACCTACCAGCAGACATTCTATCTCCAATGCAAATATTTGTAGACGATGCAAAAAATGGAGAGCAATTCGCTCAGCATCCGACCGTGTCTACCTCCAGGAAGATCTGTCTCCGATTAACGGATGGGCAGAAAAGAACCAGCTCCCACTGAAACCTGCAAAGTGCCACCTGCTGACAGTGCACAACAGCTTCGTCAACACATACCTTTTGAGGCAACACGTCATGCAACACGTGACTAGTAAACGCGACCTAGGTATGATCGTGCAAGAGAGTCTTGGAAATTCGCTCCAATGTTCGAAAGGAGCAAGTGTGGCGAACTTGAACTTGAGACTTTTGAGGCGAGCTCTCGGCATTTTTGAGCGACAGCTAGTACCATTGCTGAGTAACTCCTACATTCGTCCTCATGTTGAATATGCAATTCAGGCCTGGTGTCCATGGTTAAAACGAGACATCCGCCTCTTGGAACAGCCCCAAAGAAGAGCCACAAATGCAACGCGTGGACTATCCGGTATAAGTTACGAAATGCGTCTTCGTGTACTCGGTGTGTTCACATTAGAATACCGACGGTTTCGCGGAGATCTTACTATAACATACCGGATACTAACCGAAAGCGAGCATCCATGTACATCACTGTTGACTCTAGCCCCATACAAACAAAACCGAGGCAACCACCTGAAACTAATGACGCAACACTCGTTTGAATTGTAGAAAGTATTTTTTTCTCACTTATAGTCTGTTCTCACTGGAATGCATTACCAAACTATGTGGTGAACGCACCAGACATGACGACATTCGAAAGATTCTTAGATTTTCATCTTAGTGATAAACGATACACAACACTTTGTTAAAGTGCAATGATTTAACCACTGATACTTTACGTTCCACGTTGGAACATTTAGATTTTAATTTTCTTTTGCATATCCATCCTGTGGGTCTTGTAAAGTTATGCTTTTTATCCCATCATACACTATTGAACCACTGAACCCTTATAGGCAAGTTTTTCTGGTGTTTTCATAGAATTTTTTCTAATGTGTGTAATTCAGCCTTTTTCTCGTTTAGATCCCGTTTGTTTCGTTCTTCATTGTGGTTACTACGAAAAGAATGGTGGACGAGTGCCGTGTTTACTTTGCTATTTCTTTATTACTGCCTGAAAGTATTGCGCAGAATGATTACGGGGCTTGAGCTAGTCGTTTTCAGTCATTCGGGTTGTTGTCAGAAATATTGCTTACTCCTGACCCAGAGTAAAGCAGACCTGTGGTTTCCGACCCACAAATGGGAACGCATTGGAATCATCCATGGAACAGCGAACGGTGAGCAGACTTTGGGTAGATGAAAGTGCTTTGTGCGTATATGCTGGGGTGTGCGTGGAACCAGTGAATGCGAAAACAATGAGATTGCGGTTCGAGTTGATATACAGCGTTTATGTACGTTGGATCTCTCTAATTGGCTCCCAGATTTTCTTTTTGCTCTCCATGAAGCACACGGCATTTCGTTTATATTTGATATCCGTTCTTCTCACTTCCCAAGCTTATGTGAATTATTCAATCCAGGTTCTTTTTCCATGTTGTGCATTCCATTTTATTTCGGGTCGTTTCACATCATCAATCCTTACGAGATCAGTCAATGGTTGACACTCGTTTTGACTCCGCGCTTCATTGGAGTGGACCGAAGCGCTCCTACAAGACTCTAGCGTCTTAATTCAGCTACAGCTACCCAACCGCGAACATTGCCAATTTGTTACCTCCAGCCATATCTAATCTCTGACTCACGATATTTGCACCGCGTGCACAGCATATGTGCCGAGAACACTGTGCCCTAAAAAAACTGCAAGTTTCTATTGTACAGGAACTGTTTTCCATGTTGTGCTCCCAAATGAATAGCCACGCTTCACTCTTCCATGGCTTGAGATGACGGTATATAAAGGTAATTTTAACGCTTACTTGCTTTCTGCATAACTGCACCAAAAATAACCTGTTTTATCGCCAGATTATTCTACGAGTTCTGTAAACTGTGATAATGCATTTCTCTCAGATATCAAACATCCCCGCAATTTTTCAACGGCAACTGAACACATTGTTTCAAAAATACGTGAGCATCATAATGGATTACATTTTCGAGGGAACCTTACCCACCGGCATGATTCGTTTAATGACGGCCGCCTCGATTACTACAGACGACGCCAATCACGAGGTCAAGGGCAGCGACGTTTTGCGCAAAGGTATCACCGGAGGCAGAGATGCCGGTACAACTTCTGGGCCACCCAGGGTGAAACTTGTGCTCCCTCTAGTCAAAATGAACTTAATAGTGCAGCTGTGTACTATGTTACGAAGTCAACTGGACCTGGGAGTCTGTCCAGGAACGGAGAAAACCATAGATGCCTCACGTCTTCTAGATATTGAGTAAGTTGTTTCACGTGAACTACCAACTGGGTTTCTAGTTGACATAGCTGAGGGAATTCGATTGGTTCACTGATTTAACCTAGAATTAGTGTCATCGAAGGCGACTCGTGTAATGCCGGCCTGCTGTTGTTACAACCACTTGGGCAACTAAAGGGGAAACCGTCATGACCAAGCAGCATAGACTGTAATTGGTGGGTGTATCCGATCGGGGTGACGGAATTGTGTCCGAGAGGATGGCTAGGTAACCAGCTGAGGCGAACCAAGTAGACCTCGTGGTCTTGACTGTGTATAGGTGTCCCTCTACTCTACTCAGCCACTAATCGGCAACTGTTACCTGACCGACAAGAAGTTGACTTAACTAAGTGAGAAGGTGTAGGTGAAAAAAGACTTTCTTCTCAAATCTTTCGAAACGGTGATGGTGGCCAACCTGTCATCATTTTCTACTGAAATACTGTTCTTCCCTGTTGTTTTTGGGTTAAGGGTGCCGTTGGTCCCAATGCATCGTTCGTGTGGTCTGTGTTGTACCCCGCAAGATAACTTCTTCATTCCAGCCGTCGGCGCCGCGGGGTACTCTTAGCGTATCCAGTTAACACAGCTCAGGAAACAAATATCCGAAAATAGAAGGAGTTAATGAAGTGCGAACAGAATCAGGTGCAACAGAAGGTAGAAAGCAGTTGGAGATCGAAAGTACACATACTGATTGTGCAGCATAGTCATGACAGTCACACACAGGCAGTCACACGTAATTAGAGACCGTCGCATGTACATAGTAGCAACCACGTACACACTCACAGACTGGTGCGGAACCACTGACGTATTGGTATGGTGGAATATACCTTTTTATAGCAAATTACATTCAGAACGCAGTCGAAATGATCCTTAAGGGGCTCATCTTCCTCCAAAAGGCTACTCCACATAGTCCATAACGCATTCGAATTGAATCCTGCCTATGCACACACATGTTAATACATACCGTTAGATTTGAACAATGGCAAATCAGCCAATAGCATTCCGAACAGTACACACTGCAGTGTCAGTATGACTATTGAACTCAGGTAGGTTCAGAGAGATCGTTCTTTGGAAGGTATTCAGTAAGCAGTGGTTACACCGAAGTTAGGCCCACGGCAGGTAAGGGACATCCTGGTGGTCAAACTTGAATGGTCTAACTGGTCCGACGGATGATAAGCTTGACGTCACCTTCTTCATGTTCTTTTTCCGCGTCACTGACTGCCCATCGCGGCACTTCGAATTACTTCCGGGAAGTGTGAATAACGCCTGATGACGAAGGCGTTAACGGGGTAATTACAATACATGGTCGAACCAATGCATACGGTCTCGGAGAACAGCGTTTTGAAGGCAGTGACTAGGTTCCAAGCACTCGGTCACGAACTTCCGTATGGCTTATTTGAGTTTTCCACCATACACTAACAATCTTTCGCAGACAGCGGTTGTTAAAATGTGGCAAGCTTTTCATTTTTTTTCGAGCGAATATGCTAGGTTTCACAGCTGTACAACTGGATCCTACCGATGGATGCACCATATACCCTACCATTAAGCTTGGGAATGACATCGCGAAGGTATCCATATGTGTTTCAGTTTGATGAATGCAAGGTGCGTCTTTGCAATCCCTTATGAAACTATACGTTCCACACCCATCTAGGCCGTAATGAGACTCCGGAGGTATGTGAAGCAATCGACTTGTTCCAGAACGTCAACAGCAATAGTGAACACGGGTTCAGGTACCTGTCCATCCTGGGGTAGTTTTCTACATTTGAATGCCACTATTGCTAAGCGGTTCAAACCGGTTTGGATGGACTGTGTATCGTCCTCCAGCCCAGGGCTATCATCATAATCCAGGTTCATCACTCTGTCTCTGGGAAGAAGCTCAGTGCTCCAATTGTGAACACTTAGTGTCAGTTAGGTGACATTTTCGATGCGAAAGCCGCACAAGGAAGGTTAGACAATGCAGCTTTTGCGAAGGCCGCTGAAAACCGTAAACGAAGAGGATTTCCTACCGTGAGACCAAACTGCCCGCATGTGACTTCACAGCTTCCGCAGAATGGTTACAAACATGTAGCGCACATCTTTCCTTTGTAAACAGTGTCACAAAGCAGATCTATCTACCAAATCAAATGCTGCTCCGATGTCCAAGGACATTGCAATTATGGATTGCCGGTGGACGTGACGGATTTCGAGGAATTGACGGAGCATAAAAAGTTGGTCGATTCATCTTCGGCCTAAAGGAAAACCTTCATGAACCACTCTAGAAAATCCCTCTTTAGTCGCTGAAAACCTATGAAGTAAGACGGGCGCAAAGAATTTGGATGCGACGAAGATCAATGAATTTCTGCACTAATTGTCCAGTCTTCCCAGGAGCCTTCTTATGCAATCGCGGAAACTGATGATTCTCCCCATGAATTAGGAGCGTTGTTAGTCCAAGCCTTCGTGAACAGTGATAGAATTTCGTCGACACCTATAAGTGTGCCATTTATTAATAGAACCAGGAGCTTTAGGATATTTCAAGGATCAGGTTGCTCTTCGGATCACCGCTTCGGTGTGAGGATCTGTGGAGACAGATCAAGCCCAATTCGATGTAAAACTGGGTTTCACTAAGGTCAGTGATGGCTAATTAAATGGGGGAGCAAATTGCACAAACAAGTGATCCAAACGCTTGCGTAAGTTTGAGATTTTTGTAACGTCTTAATCACGGATTGTCCGTCTGATGGCTTCAGAATTATCCCCGGTGATCTTAATAAGCTAAACAAACTGCGGCAGTTTCCAGCCGATGCATCGGCTTTCACCCCATCAGTTCGTTTTGACTCCCAGCGTTTCCCGACGAAGTGCAGGCGTGCTTTGGAGTATTGAGAAGTAGACCGACGGAGTTCGTTGTATTCTGCACCGGCAAACATAGCTCGTCGAGTATCCAGCAATTCCGAGGATGTTACTAAGATCCAGGTTTTAACTGTGCAGCGTACGAAACCGTAGCTGGAAAAATGTGGGGACAACATGGCTTCTTGCAACCTTGACCCATAGTGCTCAACACCAAAGCATGAGAAAGCACGAGTTTTCCCGAATTGTCTGTTGATACTTCGACTGCGTCAGTAGCTGTTTCAACTCATAAGTGTTTCGTCGGGTTTGTTTGGTCCTAGGTGCGACACCGAAAAGTGGGCAAACTGTAGCACACACACGAATGCATGATCGATTTTGACACTGCTTGACCAATATAATCTGGCAACTCCGTACTCTTCAACGCTATGTGGTCGATTTACGACCAACACAGTAAAAGTGATGAAAGACGTTTTATCCCATTGAACCCACTAAGCCTATCCGCAAACTGACCCCGACAGCAGTACACACACGAAGTGACATCGGAACAAAAGCACGGCGCTCGTTGATCCGTGCTTCCTTGCCAATGACTCACTTCTTTACAGGCGCTGTGAGTGATTGTGATCAATAAACAAACGCTTATTCACATCAGTTACAAACTGGGCGTGCGTGGATTATGACGTCTCAGTATAACTGAACCCATTCCTAAAGGGAAGCAAGAACACAACCGTGTCGGACAAACTGTATTGAAAAACTGACAAAACTGAGCAACCGGGATGCAAAGCATCAATAAATCAATTGGCCAACCACATGAGAGGACATAGTCACGAATGGTGAGCGGTTTAGCTCTGAACAACTGTCGTGTGCAACACAATAATAGGACGAGATGGTCACGAATGCCAATCTACCTGTGAGCGACTATGAAGCACGCTACGTTCGATTGGTATGCTTTACAACTTGGGTTCACCTCGAGTCTCTGCACTGGTGCTCTGATTCACGTCGAGTATTTTCGACCTGTAGTTACGTTTTCTGTTTGGATGGCAGGCTCTTCAGACAGGGTAGTTTGATACATATCCAGTAAAATGTCAAACGGTAGTGAAGCTTCCTGTTTTTGGAACGTCCTTGCACTTCAAAACAGAGTCTAATATGGTTTACATGTCTAGTCAATATGATGGAATCCACTTGTATTCTGAAAAACACACTTGAAATCTGTTCCACGAAACACCCAGGAATACAGGATGATCTTCGGTCACGAAAATTCTTTACGTACACACTATTTGCAGGCACGAAATGCTGGGGGCGTGTTCCGTGATGGTGATTAAAGGCCAACTCCATTTGAACATTGCGCTCTCCCTTGTGTAGCGATGGCTTCAAAGCATCAATGACGGTTCGGACACGCCTACCGAGAAACGCTTCGGATGGGGATATGAACAATGAGCAATGATTTATCACGGGTAAAGTAGCATGTGCTTGAAAAGTACGTAGGAAGGTTGCAGTAAAACTTAAACTTAAAAGGATCAACGAATAAGTAAATTATCATTATAATCGTCTACCGAGTTAAATGCACTACTGCATAACGATAGTTTGAAGTGGGGATGGGATATGCAGACACAAAATAGACTAGAGAGCTGTTATAGTTCAGTAAGTGCGTGAGAAATAAACAAGGAAACGACAACACTCACTCGTGTGTTGCTTCATTTGACTGATGTGGTATGTTACTCCCATTTTAGATACATCCAGCATACTCACATGAACACTTCTGCATGTATCCTCACCGCCACATTGCGGAGAGGGCCGTTAAGCACATGGGCAGTTTTGCGTTATTTCGTCCTCCAGGTGGAACGGACTATATCAAGTAATGCAAGTTGAAAAGCGTGTCGCCAAGAAGTTAGTTGAATAGCGTTAATGTAGGGGCAAGGATAACGTGAGTCGGAAGGGAATTCTAGGTACGGGACACACGGAGGGAGAAAACGTTTCCTCGACAATCAAGCCAACTGTAGTGTGTAGCCATTTTGAGCTGATGGGCTCTCAGGTAGGCATTTTGGCTCACCTGCAACAGGTTGCGACATGGGTCACTAGGGTTCGTCAGTATTAAGTACACCGTGATCAGGTTCCCTCGTTGAGGTCACTATTCACCACTGTACAATCTCAGAGACTGCAGTCTGCATTGAGAG